TGCCCTTCCCACCCTCTCTTTGGGGAGCTGAAACACAAGCTCTCCTCTCCGCACTGTGCTGGAGAGGTCCCACAGCTGCATGCTGAGCGGCTTGGGCCCTGCCTGCAACCGGTTGTCCCCATTACCTCCCTCTGCCAGGGGCCTCTGCAGCAGCCAGGCTAATTAAAGTCTCCTCTCCAGCCTGACTGCACGGCCAGCTCGGATCGCATTTCAGCCGTGTCCACACACTATAGGGTCAGTTTCTTCTGGGCCCTTCTCACCCTTTAAAATCAGGCCACTCTTCTGGCTCCAGCGATTCAGTGACACACTTACACGCTTGGAAATGGAGAGGCGACAGCCCCGGCCAGGCTGCCGACGCCTCCCTCTGGCTTCCCACACTCATTAGAAAGTTGTCTTTCTTCTCAGGCACTCCATTTAGAACTCGGGACACTTGACACCTACTCCAAGAACCCAGCAAGCTCCCAGACTGGGGACCATTCCCTCTCTCCCCGCTTTTAAAGCTTTGAAAAAAAAAATGTAAGGAACCCCTAGGCCAAGTCATTTAAAACAGGAAAATCAAATATAAAAGACCGAGGAGTGTTTTTGCTGTGTCTAGGTGAATCGATCTATCCTCGCTTCCTTACAAAGAGTGGGTGTGCTTTGTGCACGCTGGTCTAATCGGGTCACACCCTGCAGGGGGCCCGGGGAAAGAGGGCGACATCAGAATGCGCATCTAGAGACTACTGAAAAGTGAAATTCTGGCAAGGCCAGATGAAGCCAGAGCACTCCTGGCACAGACCGGGCTGGGCTCCGCTGGATCGCTTTTCTACAAGAGACTGGGTTTTGGGAAGGCTAGTCCATGGGGAGGGGGCTGGGGCTGCAGGAACTCCGCGATGAGATTCCTACCTTCCTCAATCTCACTCCTAAATCTCACGGCTGAGGGGCTTGTCTCATTCACTTTCCTTTGTTAAGTAGAATCCTCTCCCCCCATAATACATCCATTCAAACCTTACAACGTGGCCTTGGCTGGAAACAGGGTCTTTGCAGAGGTAATACATTAAATTAAGATGAGGTTATGCTAGATTAGGGTAGCCCTGAATCCAGTGCCTGGAAGCTTCATGAGAATGCCATGTGAAGACAGACAGACAGACAGACAGACAGACAGACAGACAGACACACACACACACACACACACACACACACACACACAGAGAGAGAGAGAGAGAGAGAGAAAGGGGGTGGGTGGGCAAGTGACAGGGACAGAGAAAGACAGACAGACAGACACTGAGAGAGACAGACAGACAGGTAGAGATAGGAGGCAGGAAGATTCTGCCTGTGGCCAGCAGGGCAGGCAGGGTTCAGCCAGCACCTGCAGAGCAGGCTTCTGGCTTCCAGAGCTGTGAAGAATAAAGTGTGCCTGTTTTCAGCCACCCAGGGTACGGAACTGAGTTCTGGAAGCCTCAGGGAAGCGGGACACTGAGCCAGAGATCCACCCACTGACCCCCGGAGGACCAGACCACCACAACACAGCTCAAAGAGTGGGCTGTCTCTGGGTGTGGTGCTGTGGGCCAGCGGACCATTCACAGTGAGACCCTGCCACAAATGACCAGAAGAGGAAAGACAGACAGCCGAGCAAAAGCCCCTCGGGGTCAGATAACTTGGTGAAGTGTATCCTTAAACAAGGAGGGTGGTGCAAATTTTCATGGGGACGAAATGACAGTCATGTAATCATCTAAAAACCTGAGAGTAAAGCCAGATGTGCTGGCTCATTTCCATAATCCCAGCACGTAGAATGAGGCAGGAGGATCGCTTTGAGTTCAAGGCTAGCCTGGGATACAGACTGAGATGCTACTTCCAAAAGCCAAAATAATAATAATAATAAGCAATAAATATGATTTGAAAGTCAGTGGCTGGAACCAACCCAGTAGGTCTTTCCAACAAGCATCAGTGAACTGCTGCCCACATACCACAGGACAGCAGGGGACCCAAACACAAAGAACACTTCAACTGGCTGCCCAGAGGAACTCTCCTGGAGAGCAGAGGAAAGGCCAGGTTTGAACCTCAGAGTCCTGATGGCAGGTAAGCTCCTCACAACCTCCCAGAGAGGCTGGTCAGCCGGAAGGAAAAGGTAGAAAGCCACGCCACAGAAGACAGGCCGGCACACATTGTGTTTGGGTTTTGTTGGTTTGTTGTAGCACACTGCTTTAGGGGAACAGGGATGGTGTGGTAAGGGGACCTGAGCTTGCCCCAGCAGACCAGGCTCTCAGGGTCAGGGAAGCAGAGAGGAGCTGATTAGAATGCACTTGTCTCCAGCAGAGTCTGGGTCGCAGGAGACCCAGGCTTTCTGCCTAGTTCCTTGTCTGGCCCAAAGCTGGTCAAGGCAGCACTCTGGGCAAAGTGTGGTGCTTAGAGGGCAAGTGGGTATTCAGGAAGACCTGGGCAGTTTTATATTTTCTTTTAAAAGTCATGCAGAAGGATAGGGGTGTGGCTTAGTTGGTTAAGTACTTGCCTAGCCTACACAAAGCCCTGGGTTTGATCCCCAGTACTACATGAAAGGATATGGTGGTATAAGCCTGTAGTCATGGCACTCAGGAGCTAGAGGCAGGAGGATCAGAAGTTCAAAGTCAAACTTGACTGCATGGTGAGTTCAAGGCTAGCCTAAGATACAAGAAATCCTGTCTCAGAGAAAAGAAAAAAGTAACATAGGGCCAAACACTTGTAAAGCTGAGGCAGGAGCAGTGCCTTGAGTTCCAGACCAGCCTGGTCTACAGAGTGAATTCTAGAACAGTCAAGGCTACACAGAGAAACCCTGTCTCAAGGAAACAAAACAAAACAAGAAGGTGCTGGGCTGGTACCTTGTATGCAAATAATTTCAACAGCTGGAAGCCCAGCCCTACTGAGCTGAGAGAGTTATGCCCCCTGGCAGAGAGAAGGGAGCATTGTGGACCAGGAGCTAGCCAGCCTCAGCTACATAGTAAATTTGAGGCTGGCTTGGGCTATATTAAGACCCTAACTCAAAGAACAAGAAGCGGAGGAGAGGGGGTGGGAAGAAAAGATAAATGAACCACGGCTGGCGACATCATCACCCAAGTCTCCCAGATCCAGCCATACCTGAAGCTGGCCCAGATAACTCCTACGTTAACATTCGTTAATGCTAAGTTTTACTGCAAGTGGTAAAAGCTCTAACCTAGCACTCGGGCGGACAGTACAGCTCTGTAGAAATGCCCCGCACAGTTGGGGCTGTCGCTTCTTCTGGAACACCAGTTCACACACTGCCCTCCCCTTAGCTTGATGCGGGGCCAGTGCCTGGTCTTTGCCAGCGCTAACAGGGCTGGGTCCCAAAGACCTCCGGACCGATGGACTTTATTCCTCTTAGGCAGCCCACTAACAAACAACCTTCCAAAGAGTGTTTCCCAGTAAAAGCAAATGGAGCTGGAGAGACCACAGAGCAAGGTGAAGATAAATCTGCCAGGACTGTGGAGGGATCGCCACGCTGGGAACATCCAGGCTGGAGCAGCCCTTCCCGTGAACCGTAAAACCCAAAGTAAATCACTGTGGTCTCTGTCAGGCCACTGTCTGTCCCCGGGCTTTTCCACCTTCGCTCATTCTTTAGTCCCAACTCCACCTTCCTGGGCTGCCCAAACTGAATCCAGAAAACAGTGGCTGGGAGCCAGGCACTGAGAAATCAGGTGTCAGAGGTACTGCAGGTGCGGGCTGTGCAGACTTGGGAGCGTGAGTCGTGGAGGCGTGCTCGCCACAGAGCCTCTAAATAGAGCCTCCTTGCGGAGGACAAACACATTCCAAGCGCTTTTAAAGACGCCCAAGCATGACCTGGCCAGCGGCCTTCGCTCCCCCAGCCATTTTTCCGGTCTCGGCCCAATTCTGGAAATAATATTAATAGCTTGGTGGCATTTTCGGTGTACGGACTACTTTGTGACCTTAAAAGGCAAAGGTCGGGCCGGCGACATGGCTCAGCTGGTAAAGACGCTTGCTACCAGCTCTGACCACCTGAGTTCGATCCCAACACCTGCATGGTTGAGGGAGAGAACCGATTCTCACAAATTGTCCTCTGACCTCCACGAGTGTGCACTTCCTCACTCATACACACTCACAGTAAATAAATAAGTGTGACTTTTTTTTTTGAGACAGGGTGTCACTATGCAGCCATGGCTAGCCTCTAATTCACAGAGATCGCCTGCCTCTGCTTCCCAAATCCGAGTGTCACCACACCTCGCTTACTGCTTTCCCGTTTCAAGTGGGGAAATGAGGCCAGAGAAGAGACCTCTCGCATGACAGGCTACCCGTTGGGTCTCTGTATGCCCTCCTCTTCTGATGGGTGATCGGATGGGTGATAGGATGACGCCACCTGCAGCCACCATCCTAGTGACTAGTAGCAGGAATCAGTCCCCACCAGCCAGCGGCATCTGCAACCCAACCGGCTGGAAGGGGTAACCGACTAGGAGACGCCCTCAGGAGGCTCCTGGCCCCACCTGAGCCTAGGGATGCCCGTGTCTCTCGAGTTGAAATCAACCAAGTTCTCAGCCTTGGTTCATCCCTCAGACCCTGTGCAGAAGACTAGGATTAACTCTCGCCTTTGTTTTAAAAGATAACAGGACAACCCTGCTAATTTCTCCCTGAGGGATAAAGTTAAGGCTGGCAGGTGAGGTGCGCCCTGGGGTTGCTTCCTAGAAGGTGCTCAGAGCAAATATCTGAACCCGTGTGGGTGGAGGGGGACGGGTGAGTGAGTGGAGCGGGCAGGGGATTCCAAGGAGGGGGCCTTAGTGGGAACTTCGGAGCTGTGCCCGGGAAAGAGAGCTCCTAACTCTCAGATCCCTAGCCCGCCTAGGTCCCCGATCGCGCGCAATGAACTCCTGTGCGCAAGATCTGGCTACACTGGGCCAGATGCTCACTGCACCCTTGGCCCCCTGCACCTCCTCCCAGCACCATCCCACTCACAGCGCGGCCGCCCTTCGCCCTGTCCCATATCCCCCGTTCCTCGGGGGCGCAGGGCGAGCGCTCACATTTTGAACATGCTCTCCAGATCCTTGAGGAGGCGGCGGCTGAACTCTGGGAACTCGGTGTAGGGGTTGAAGACCTTGCTGCGGCGGGACCGAGCTGCGCCCTGGTGGATGTCCAGCCTGCGGTTCAGCTGGGCGCTCAGCTCCGAATCCGCGCTGGCCATGGGCGCCCGGGCAGGCGGTTCAGGCTCCTGGTCCCCCGCTGGGGCAGCGTAGGGTGCAGGCTGCGGGGCGCCGTGGTTGTTCTCGGCCAACGCCTCTAGTCTCAACCGGCGCTGCAGCTTGCGGGCCAGCTCCTCGCTGGACATGGTGGCGGGTGATGATGGTGGAGCTGGGATGGGCGATCCGGCACCGGGACGCAGAGGGTTGCGCGCTCTTTTGTGGGCTCGTGGCTTTGTGACGCTCGGCGGTGTCGCTCGGGACCCGGCGGTTGGGTAAAACCGCGGGTGGGCGGGGCGGGCAGGGCGGAGCTGCGGCTTTAAGGAGGCGCGGGAGCAGCAGGACTGCCTGCTGGACAGGGGACAAGCGGGTGTCTGTGCGTCCTAGGGGTCGCGTCTGCCTAATCCTCCCCGAGGCTGGGCACTGGAGGCTGACCCGTCCCTCAGTCCAAGCATGGACCCTAAAATCAACTCTGATCTTGCCTCCAGCATCCACCCTCGGGGAACTGAGGGACCTCGTAGTCCCAGGGGACCAGTCGCGAAGACTAGGGAGTTAAGTTTGGCAACCGTTCAGGCAGTTCCATGCTCTTCCAGAAGCGCTCCAACCAGGGAGCTCGCGGCCTGGGACCCGCTGAGATGGGAGAACTGGGCGCTGACCTCCGCACGTCCCCACGCGTGTAGGGGGCAGTCGTTGTGCTGAGGCTCTGGAGTACCAGATGCCCCAGGCAGTGCGGGGCTGCTTCTCATGTAGCACTGAAACGTTTCCACAACAAATTAAAAATACTAAACAAAAAAAATAAACAAATTGAGAAAAAAAATTCCTGATTCCCGGGAGGTAAGAGACCAATGCTGTAAGCATCTTGGGTTATGCCTCCTCCGCCCCCCGACACACACACATACACTTTTTTAAAAAGAGGTGAGGGCCAGCACTGTGAAGAGGCTCGAAAATAAATAAGGCAACTTTTAAAACAAGAGATTGAAGTAAAAACAAGCAGCGCCGCCGTCATTCTCCCTAAGGAAGGGTGGTGAGGACTGGCGTTACGTCAGCCAAGCGTGGAGAAACAGCTTGTAAACACGGCAGTGGTTGACTGGGGACCAGCTCCGCTCGACCCTTGCGCTCTGAAGGCTGGGATGTGTCTGTGATGAGCCGGGGCGGCGGGATCTGCTTTCAAAGGGGATGATTTGGTAGCATGTGCATCTTTGGGACCGAGGGCGGGGTGGAGGGGTGGGGGGTAATTCAGAGACTGTGCTCTCAGGAAAACGTAATTCGATTAGCTGGGCGTAGGGGATACACGCCTATAGTCCCAGCACTCAAGGCTGAGACAAGAGAATTCCAGGGCCAGAAGCCAGCCTGGGGTTCATAGCAAGACCCTCTGTTTCAAAACAAAGAAAAAAAAAAATTACTGGAGGGAGGTATGGCTCAGTGGCAGAGTCCCAATGCTTAGCGTGAAGGAGGCCCTGAGTTCAATCTCTAGCACACACACAAAGTAAAATATGTTTCTTTTTTAAAGCTGTTCAAGAAAATAAGTCATTAAAATAAACGTACTTTCCCTGGGCATGGCTATTCATGCCTGTGATTCCAGCACTTGGAAGGCTGAGGCAGGAAGATCATAGCAGCCTGGACCATACTTACACTCTTAAGATTCTCTGCCTCAAAAACCAAACCAAATCAAAACAAAACAGTTATTGGGGAGTTAGTAACCATAAGGGGTTCAGTTCAGTAGCAGACCTTTATACTTGTCATGAAAGAGAACCTAGGTTCAAGTTGGAGTGTGTGTGTGTGTGTGTGTGTGTGTGTGTGTGTGTGTGTGTGTGTGTTTAAAATGCTATTAGAGGTCCAGCAAGATGGGTCTAGTAGATAAAGGTGTGTTATGTGATAACACTTTTCCTGGGGAGACAAAACATACTAGTCTACTCACCCCAGATAAGGAAACCCACTGCAGACCGGATATCATCAAAGTCCAACTTGGGTGAACTAACAAGTTTGATTGGGATTACTTTCAGGAATATAGGTGAGGGGTGACTTGCAGGAGCAGGAATGACTCAAAGACAGCTGCATTACCAAGGCCCACTCCAGCATGAGTGACAGCTCACAAAGCTGGGAAACCGGAAGGACAGAAGGACGCTGCACAGCCTGCAGGCAGCTCGGCAGGCTGGAGAGTGTCCTTTCCCAGTGACTCTGTTCTCAGCCTCTTCCAGCAGCTCAGCGGGGCTCAGACTCTGTTAGGGTCCGAGAGAAATCTCATAAAAGACCATCAGTCATGTATGCAAACAACAAGAGCGTTTATTATTTCCAACATGTTGGGGTAGCCAATGGTGACCCCAAGAAAAGTTCACAGGCTCCTTTTATGCAGGGTTTGGGGAATTCCAGGGAGGAGGGATTAGCCTGGGGGCTGACTGGTGGGAGGTCCTAGTGGTTAGGGACTTCGTAGTGGCAGGAAAGGGGAAGCTATCTTTAGCTAACAAGGCTATGGGTGCCTGCTGAGCCAGCAGAAGGTCATGGGGCACCTGCTGATTGATTAGAACTGCTGGCCTGGTCCCTGGCAGGGCTGTTAGAAACCTGTCATGGATCTGCTCTGGCTCCCGGCTCTCTCAGCTCCTCTAGGCAGCTGTTCTCCGCTGAGAGTCTACTCCAGCAGGGAGTGGCCTAGCGAATCTAGTCAGTTTCAGGGAGTTCTTGTGTTGTTGTTTTACCTCCGGGCTTAAGGAGCTCCTGTGTAGGATGGGGTGTCTGCGGTAAAGCCTGACAGCCTGAGTTCCATCTCTAGGACCCACCTTGTGGAAGGAGAGAACTGAGTCCAGAAAGTTTTCCTCTCACCCTTACACATGTCCACCATGGCAAGCACGCACTCACCTACCCACATATATACACAAAGTGAATATTTATGTATCTCTCTCTCTCTCTCTCTCTCTCTCTCTCTCTCTATATATATATATATATATATATATATATATATATATATATTGAGACAAGGCCTCACTGTGGAGTTCTGGTTGCCCTATAACTCACTGTGTAGACCAGGCTGGCCTCAAACTCACAGAAGGCTGTCTGCCTCTGCCTCCTGAATACTGGGATCCAAGTGTTCGACACCATGATCAAAAAGCTACTAGGCAAGGCTGGAGAGATGGTTCAGTGGTTAGGAGCACTAGCTGCTCTTCCTGGGGCCCCTGCTCCAGTTCTCAGCACCCACATTGAGTAGATCATACCCACCTATAATTCCAGTTCCAGGGAATCGGACGCCATCTGGTCTCCTCGGGTACCGCCCCCCCCATACATACATTGGAACCTACAGCCACATAGTCATGCACACTCTTTAAAAAAAAAAAAAGTTAAAATAAATAAATAAATAAATAAATAAATAAATAAATAAATGCCCCGAGGAAGCATCCTCTGGCACCTTGGAGGTGACATTTCAGTAATGACCGGCGGATGTGCGGGGGCCTGACTGGGCTGTGGCTCACAACACCAGTCATGTGGCTGGCATCGGATTCTCCCCTTCATTGCCAGCACACTGTTCCTCACACTTGCTTCCTGTCACTGCCGGCTAGCCAGACTGGCACCTGTGATGCTCCTGGCACAGTCCCTGAGGCCCAGACCTGGCACAGCTGCGGGAGAATCCTCCGAAAACTCCACATGTAAACGTGGAAGCCAAAGTCTGGGGGCTCTGATGCCTCAGACCTCCCAGGCCAGGCCAGCAGGTTCCAACTCCCCGGGATGCAACCCTCCTGGGACCTCTAGGCTCTGGTCACCCACAGCTATGATTTGGGGGACAGGCCAGAGCCTAGGGACCAAAGGGACACACCGAGGATGTCCTAGGGCAGACACAGATTACCTGGGTGATGTCAGCTCTCTGTGACTTACAAAGCCAGGAGACTCTGGCATGATACTAAAAGAAGAATGTGGGGGGGGGGGGATTTTGTGGCATGGTCTTGCTGTGTAGCACAGACTGGCTTCAAACCTGCCTTAGTCTCCCAGGTGTAGAGATTACAGATGTGCACCACCATAGCTGGTGTCTTAGGTTTCTGTTGCTGTGATAAAGGCACCACCACCAAAAGCAATTTGGGGAGGGAAAGGTTTATTTGGTTTGTATGTCCGACCACAGTCCATCACTGGGGGAAACCAAGGTAGGCACTGAATTAAGGCAGGAACCTGGAGGCAGGAACTGAATCAGAGGCCATGGAGGAGTGCTGATTACTGACTGCTCCCCAAGGCCACCTGCTCAGCAGCGGCACAACCCCAGCAAACCGGGCCCTCCCACATCAGTCATCAATGCAGACAATGCCTGCAGACTTCCCCACAGGCAATCTGATAGAAGCATTTTCTCAGCCGAGGTTCCTCTTCCCAGGTAACTCTAGCCTGTGTCAAGTTCACAAAAAACGTAACCAGGACAGATAATGAACAATGCCCTTTCTTGTACCTCACCCGACACAGCCCTCCCACAGCCTGGGCATGGCTGCAGGAAGGTCCCACCCCACTTAGCAGCCATTCCCTCAGAACCCTTCTCTCCTGCTCCCACACATCCATCCTCAACCCTGTTAATCAGCTCTGAGTTCCAGCCCCGAGGGTGGCTCAATTCTCCCCACCCCCACTCCTGCCCCAACCAGGTTTTCCCAGGTGACGGTACCTTCATTTTCAGGAACTTAACCCTCTGCCCACCTGCATGCAACACTGATGATCAGGTCATCCAACAGAAAGAAGAGACATGGCTTTTGTTTTTTAAATTTATTTTACTTTACTTTTGATTTTTTTTTTTTTTTTTTATATCCCAGGCTGGGCCTTGAACTTACTGTGTAGCTGAAGCTGGCCTTGAATGCTTGTTGCTCTGACTTCACTTTCTAAGTGTCTGGATGACAGATGTGCTCCATTGTGCTCTGCAAAGTATGTTAAACTTTGCAGTAGCCAACAACAAAATGTGTAAAAGAAGGTCTGAGCCAGGCAGTGGTGGCTCACACCTTTATTCCCAGTGCTCCGGAGGCAGAGGCAGGTGGATCTCTGTGAGTTCGAGGCCAGCCTGGTCTACAGAGCGAGCTCCAGGACAGGCACCAAAGCTACACAGAGAAACCCTGTCTCGAAACAGAGAGAGAGAGAGAGAGAGAGAGAGAGAGAGAGAGAGAGAGAGAGAGAGAGGTCTGAATGTGGTTAGTAGCTAAGTGCTTTCTTAGCACACACAAGGTCCTGAACATACCTCCAAGACCTCCAGCAACTCTCTCTCTCTCTCTCTCTCTCTCTCTCTCACACACACACACACACACAAAGATGAAAATAATTTTAATATATTTTATTAAATCCAATATGTGCCGAATATTATCATCCCAACACGTGAGCAATATTAAAAATATTAGGAAGTATTTTATATTATCTCCCTTCCCACAAAGATTTGAAATGTGGGGTATAGGCTGTGAATCTGTTCAGTGGGGACTGGGGAGGGGTACAGTGGGTAAGGGCAGAGCTCTGGCAGCTCTTCCAGGGGACCATGTCAGGTGGCTCTCAACTGCCTGTCACTCATCTCCAGGGGATCTCTGCCCTCCGAGCGCAGCTGTACTCACAGGCTAGCCTCACACAGACACACATATACACATAA